AATTCAGCCAAGTTGTTGAATCCACAATTTCCTTATAAACCCATAATAATATTTTCAGTAGAACTTTGTGAAGTCCAAATTATGGCTGCGAGTGTTCCATTTTTGCTAATTTACCTTCGGGTAAGATTTTACTACACTTGTTGCATGCTTGTAATTACTATTTTGATGGAAGATGAGTACCTGTCTTATTTCCGAGGAAATAAAATGATGGATGAGGATATTCTTGTACCTGTCAGTAGTTAGGGTGCAAACACTTTATCATAGATTTCGCCACCATCGGATGAGATACAGCCCACTTGTATTGATACCCCAGCATACTTCACTGTAGACGTTGTATGTTGACGAAAATACTGTTCTCCTCTCTGCTATTGAAGAAACTATCATAGATTGTTGACAAACAACTTAAATTCATCTCTAAAGAACAAACTCTTTCAGCTTTGCTTCTTCAGTTGTTTAATATCTGATGCCATTTTCAGTTTTTTGATTTAGTTCTCTCTTCTAGGCAGTGGTTTTTGAGCAACTAAAGATTATTGAGACCACTTCTTGTTAATGTGAATACTACTATTCTGAGGATAATATCCACACAACTTACGGGTAGGTCATTGGCAAGAGCATATACTGAATTACTAAACATTAATTTTGAAGGGTTTGTGCTTTTGCTTTCTACCTCGATCATTTCTCTCTCTTTTTTTTCCTTTTTTTTTATAGTTTCACGTGTTTCCTTCAGTTTCCATACAATTTCTACCGAAACATGAAATTTTGCCTTAATCTGTCGCATGGAGTAGCCTTTACCAGGCATAACTTTGATTTCCACACATTTGTCAAGAGTAATTTCTGCTCTGACAGTCATGTGTGCAATTACCACACTACTGCTGGGAATAGTATTATTACTTGCATTTATATAGACATTATGCCGGAGTGGCACCCTCTGGTTGGTCGAATGACAATTCATTTTCAAATGCAATCCATAATGTTTGCATTTCATACCCATTTTAATCCCTATTTTTATAATTATTACCAATACTGTATATATATATCTAAACATTTATATAGATAATTATATAATTAAAAAAGAAAAAAGGGATAAAAGATTACATCATAAGGAAGAATAGCGTGAATTTAACACAGCATATCCAAACCTCAGATGAAAAATAATTAATTGTGATATTACGTAGAAAATGAAAGAAAATAGAAACAACGCAGCTACAAAACAGACATGTACCACCTTGGCACACACCATAAGGTGGGTCGTTATGTGACATGTACCACCTGGGCACACACCATAAGGTGAGTAGTTATGCAATGTGCCCTGGTTTTTTGAGGTACTGGCAGAAGTTAGACCCAAATTGCGTTGGAGGTACACCGTTTATCCAGTTTAACCTCAGTTTCGCAGGACTCACATTCTTAATAATAATAAAGCAGATGTGTTGCTCTAGCCCACAATATCCCACATCTTTACCACCTTTCACTGTCTGCAGCCAGATGTGGGTGGTCTAGCCCACATCTTTACCACCTTTCACTGTCTGCAGCCAGATGTGGGAAGGTGGCTGCTCAAAAATAAAAATAAATAAAGAAGAAATAAATAATTGGAATACATACATCAATGGGGGAGATAGTAGTAAAACTGTCAATGAAGTTGGCATTCCAGCCCCCATAATGATGTTTGGACATAAATACCAAGATGTTAAGGTATTACTATACAAGCCCAACCAAAATTGTTAGTACAGCTCCCATCAATGCTGCTGTCAAGATACAGTCCATAGGTATAGGTGTATTAATGTAGATGTATCACTTTCCCTATATAAGACCTGCTACTATATAATTCTTATAGAACCTTTCAAGAGCTTGACAGTATAAATACTAGACTAACCCTTTGTATCGTAGACATTTCACTACGGGATGCTCCAGTTTGAAACATTGAACTTGCAGAACGTTAAAGAAGACACGCCCGATTCCATTTGAAGTTTTGGTATTGGCCTTTTTCAGACACCAGCTGAATACATCGTCACAGTCGCACAAGGACCTGCAAACAAAAACCCTGTTACCAAGACTTTCTCAATACACTTAATTAAGTAAATATACAATTGTACTTGAGATCTCGTATTTGTTAAACTATTGCCCGGTGTAAATTAAATATTCCTAACGATTAATATCCTAAGTTGATTGAACCTCGTGAGATATTAATAATGGCTGGAGACGGTTTGAATGGGTAATGAAGAAAAACTTTAATATAAGTTTAACATAACAGCAAATGTTCAACGTTTCGACAAGGTTTTGTCATCTGATGATGTACCTGATGATGACAAAACCTTGTCGAAATGTTGTACATTTGCTGTTACGTTAAACTTATATTAAAGTTTTTCTTCA